CAAAACAGTAGCTCAGATATTATCGCATGTTCACGTGAACAAATGCAATGTAGAAAGTTCACGTTACATCGTGACACAAAACAGTGCCTGCCTTTTATTCTAAACTCTGCTGTGACAAAGCGACTCGGTCAGCAGAGTGTTTCTTTGCTCGTCGTTTGCTCTGGATGTTTGTCTCCGGGCGACAAGAAGTTCCAGAAATACCCAAAATCCGTTTTGCAATCTCAATGACCGTAACAAGAAAATTTGCACATCCTCTTGTTCTAATACCTGCTTTATCTCTTAATTTATTTCTGGAGTCGTCAATATGTCGATCCGCAAATTAAATATGATTTTAATATTCATTGTATATTCTCTCCAAAATATTTGACCTTCATAGTTACAATTATTGAAATAACATCTGAAAATTCTTAGATAGTAAATGCTCATCATGGTGGATGATCAGTTGTGGGTGCAGTAGATTGTTAGTGACCACTGACTCCTGCTGTATTATACTGCGTATTGTGTAAACACAAGGCCCTAAGCACACAGGCATAATGTAATCGCTCTCACAGTGAGGGTTTGTGTCTAATTATTAGAGGGCTGTCAGGTTTCAGCTTATTAGTGTGCCAGCAGTTCGATATCTTCTGCCTCCAAGGAAACCGTTACTCTAGGAACGTGGAAATGTATGGACCAGAGTCGCTGAGAAATAGCTCCATGTACAGAAAATGGAACAATAAGTTATTGGGACTTTTAACACTTTACCCAAGTAAAATTTGGAAATTAACTTCATAGCTGGAACAAAACAAAAGTTAACTGGTTAATGCTGTTTATGGAAATAATCGTTGCTTATTTCGAAAAGCCACGGTGGTCTAGCGGTTAGAACGCTGGCCTTGTAATCCTGGGGTCTCGGGTTTGATTTCCGGCGGTGCCCGAATTTATAACTTGTGTTGGGCAAGGCCGTGGTCTAGGCAACACGGAGGTTTCCTCCGGGGGCTTCCCCGGTTTCTCCGTGGCATCCCAACAATTACTCCATTCACACACAGAAGAAGGCAATGGCAAACCACTTCTGGATCATCTGCCAAGAATGTATATGAACAGGTCCCAGTCCGACAAAAGGATGGGAGGATCCTGTTCATATGGATCTGTCGTCAGACAGAACACTAAATAAATAAATAAATTATTTCGAAAATCATACAAAATCCATTAACGCACCGTACCGGCGAAACGCACAATTATTAAAATTTAAAGGCAGTGGTACATATAGTTGCCGCTGGAGTTTAACGCGTTAAGTGTTTTAATAACATATTTTATTATAACTCAACAAAGTTGGGCACTGTCCATTACTTGACGTACATTAAATTTGTACAATGATTTTCATTTCACTATGCTCTCGTTTCTGGTCACTGCTGGTAATTATATATGCCGACAAATATCTTTAATATTAATTCTTATTCTCTGATGATTAGTATTTCGAAATTTATGTGACTGCTGGTTCGATCCTACTGTCCGTCACTACTATCAGCAGTAAAACATTAAATGTAATGATACTAATTACAGTAATTATTATAGGGATTTCCTTAAATAATATTAACCAATTGAACTCTGTAATGGTGAAATGCGTTTTCTTTGAGATAAGGACTTTGGCTTCAAAGTGCCATATCGAGAAATTAACGAAAAGAAAATTTAGACTTTATAGCTTAATATCAAACCAAATTTCTATTAAGCTGGCCCACTTTCTATAAAATCGGTAAATTTGATTTAAGTTTCATGGAAATTTATTCATTTGTTTCTAACATTACATTGTATTTAACTTGACTTAACCACATCGCATTCATTTCACACACTTCGTACAAAAACCCATAAATTTCGAATTAGTTTTTTGTGTCTTTCTAATTTAATTAAATACACTTTATTTGCGTCAGCGTCTTCTTGGTTTACTTTCTGCCGCCCGGAGCTGTGAGCAGAAAATCTACGGGCATCTTTGCTCCCCGTTTCCTATGTCGTTTCACATTTCGATTATGCAACCTGTTCTTGTACAAACACGCGTGCTGTATTTATAAACGCCATTACGTGCGCCTGGCGATTCTTAGCAACGTCTAACAAGATGGAAAAGCAGCTAGAGTCGGCGGAATATAAATGAAGTTGTTACAACCTTGCGAAATCGTAATTTACACTCCGTTTTCCGTCTCACATTTTACACCGTTCACCTGTAAACTTACACGATAAGCAAATATTTCTGTTACGTGCTGTAGTGAAAGTATAACGTAAATTATGTGTTTATATAATAAGATTCGCTTTAAAATTCGAAGATACAAATGATCATCGCCCTGATGACGGAGGCAGTATGACCACTGAAACGTTGGTAAACATCGACCAGACTACACAGCGCAACAACCCAGAAGACAGAAATCTTCATACTCATCGCCCTGATGATGGAGGCAGTATGACCTCTGAAACGTTGGCTAACATCGACCAGACTACACAGCGCAACAACCCAGAAGACAGAAATCTTCAGCCAAGTAGTCTGCTTAAAGCCATCATTATTGTTCTAGAGTGATGAAAGTCGTAGTTAATCAGCATACTGGAATACTGGATACTGGGAACGACCCGTTCTTCAAGTTCCTGAGCACTGCAGGTCCCAACTTTTTCGTTGGTTCGATCTATAGACATTCGGTAGGACACCTTGGACGAAGGATCGGCCCGTCGCAAGGCCTCTACCTGAACACAGGACAGCACAACACAGAACAACGCGGACAAACATCCACGGCTTGAGTGGGATTCGAACCCAAGGTCCCAGCGACCAAGCGGCACAAGGCCCACGCCTCAGACCGCGCGGCCACTGCGGACCCGTAATCAGCATAGTTTGATGAATAATGATTTCCATTATCTCCTTTAGAATTTGTTTTTGAAACTATTACACACCACACCAACCTTAACTGCCATTACTGGCTACTCTCTGAATAAGATGGCACAGAATCATGAATGACACAAAATCTATCTTCGAGATGGAGTTGAGTTAGTTTCGTTCCCCAAGGAGAACAGAAAATCACGGGGATCAAGAACTATCTAGAAGTTTCCCAACAAACGCCGAGACGTCTTCTCAAAGTTTCAGTGGCCGCGGAAACAGCGAGGATTCTGTGATCCCATAACAGAATTGTTCTTAGCAGCCAAGCTATTTTTGGGTTATGAAATGTGGAAAGGTTTGCTTTCCTGGTGGCAGTTCGCTCAGGACCTGAATCATAGCCGTGCACGATGAGAATGAAAGGTACGTCATCTGCAAAATCATTCCTGATGGAAGTTTTGAAAAGGTATTGCGGAGGATTTGACATTGAAGCAACGCTCTTGGCACAACTTTTCGTTGGCTTTGATCTATAGACATTTGGTAGGATTCCTTGGACGAGGGATCGGCCCGTCGCAAGGCTTCTACCTGTACACAGGATAGCACAAACATCCATGGCTTGAGTGGGATTCGAACCAACGATCCCAGCGACCAAGCGGCACAAGGCCGACGCCTCAGACCGCGCGGCCACTGAGATGGCGTAATACAAATACAAAATTCTTTGTGATTCTGTTTGTTCAACTGGCCTTCATTTCTATTTGGTATTGTTGCAAATCTTGTAACATTTTGTTTTTATAATCTCAAGTTAATGATAATTAGGAATAAGAAAGAGCTTGTTTCTTACGGTGCATTCATTTTCATGCATCATTTTAAAGTGTCACACATATTTAAGTACACTTCCTTTGATGGAAAATCCGGTCCATTTCGATACTTCTTATTGTCTAACAAAGAAATACATATTCATAAAACTGTTATAAGAAAGTATTTTTGTTATTTCAGTGCATTTTTAAGAACAACGGCGAAGAACAAGCGAGGGGACCATTAGTTTATAGGTTTAAGATGAATCTTCCAAACATCTGATTGCAAGTTCCTGCCATCTAGTGACGTCCGTGTTTGTTGCGTAATGTGAGTCATAAGAATGTCGTGCCACCTAGTATGCATTGCACGAACGCAGACAAGGCGGTGGCACCATCGTAACGGCTCAGCACGTACTTTTACGTCAGTACTGAAAAACGAATCATGTGGTGTGTATATTAAAAGCACCTAAAGGTATGTACTTTCAGCATTTAATTTATGTGTATGCCAAAATGAAATCCTGGTTTTTCTAACATTTAACTGATGAGTTTGCGCTGCAATGAAACGCCAAACTCTGCGTTTGCTATCAAGTCTGCTGACTTTATTTTGTTGCGTAAGGTACTCAGAGCATTGGCCTGTTTCAGGGGCTTTCGTAACGATGTTTTTAGAATGTGCCTATTAACTTTGACATGTCTGTCTGCCTCTCGGCATTAACAATTTACAAGCCGCTAAGCGGATTTTCATTATATCTGATACTGAAAGGTTTTTGTTTGTTTTTAATTTGTCGATATAATCCAATTTAGAATCAAATGAGTGAGGAAAATAATTATGAATTTGTCGGAAAGGATCTGCAAGGTGGCAGTTCTCAGTATTCATATAGGAAAATCGAGTTAAACTACGATAAAATTCAGTCAGGACAGCCAATAGCCCCACAGAAATAATAAGCATGTGTATATAAGCGGTAAACCTCCAGTCGTATAAAAGTCTGGAGTGTTACCGCTTCTCAAATTTGCCTGGTGAGACAAGGAATATTATTTGTTTAACAAAGCACGCGGAAGGTTACAGTACAGTGTAGGATACAGCATATGCACAGCCTTCTACGCTGTCTGTGGCACTACCAATCACAGTCCAATCTAAGTAAGAGTTACCATATATTACGAGAGAACACTTTTGTAAAAATAACAAGTTTCACACACACACGGAGCGAAATGCGTTTTAAAAAATTGGTAGGCATATATGAACTGAAACGAAATAACGAATTCACATGTTTCTCATGTTCATCAAGGTCCAAATTGCGTAAGTCTCAGCCCACTAAGTGGGGGTCTTTTTTTGTGTGACCTTGAACGAACCGCTGTTATGTGATGATAACTACAATGACTGTCCATTTTAAAATACGACGAAGCTGAATCTTACATGGAGTGACAGTGCATAAATCCTGTCGATAGAGTGCTAGCTATCTTAATCACAGCGAGATAGTGTTGCCTCTCATCTCAGATACACTGTCCGCAAGAACATGTAGAGTTCACGGATCGCTGTCAAAGGTGAGTTTATAAGTTCCTTACAGAAACTACATAAATTAAAGCAACGAAGTTTCACTCGCAACTTGCGTTATTATGTACTGCTTAAATCTAGGATTGCACTTAATACTGAGCCTATGAACAGTGCGTACAATGTATGAGTCTACCAAAAACTTGTATAATTAAGAGCTCTAGAATAAATTAAGGAAGAAGTGATCGATTAAAGGATACAGTTATTTATATTACATTTTTACTGGACAGTAGGGAAAAGTGACAGTTTAATGACGCGCTGGTCTGTTTTGTTTACGAACATTAATATACAAACTAAATACGTACTTAGTTGTGTGTAGACAAAATTTTGCTCACCTATCACACGTTCACAATAATTAAATTATAATCCAAAATTATACAGTTACATGAAGAGTAACATTCTATCCTGCATTTAAAGACCGTTAAATCTATACTACCAGCACATATTATTGATATATTCGGAGGACAGAAATACAAAATTAAGATGTGCCAAATTTATGTCCGATATTTCGAAAGGTTTCTCAATAAATAAAATGCTCTTCGCGTATTAATGGCTTTGTTCACTCCGTTGGCTTCATTCTGGGAAGTTCAGAATCGATATTTTAAAAGATAACGAACTTTCTGGACCAGGCATATTCTAGTCACCGAAACGTCATGTTTTAGCAAAAAATCAGGACGATGGATAATGTCCTTAAAGTTTGTTGTTTTAGCAACACACCATCTTTACAAACCTTCGGATCCATATTTTATAATTATTTTCTTTCGCGATCCAGCATTGTATTTGAGTACAGTAGACTCAAATATTTCCCATATATACCTACATATGTTCCTTCATCACTTTAATGCTTCATACTACGGTATTTAATCAATGGCGTCGTATAATGATCGTTTTTATACTACAAACTGGTTATAACAATAACCAAATAATCAGACCACTGACGGTGACAAACTAAAGAGGAGGATTATATTTGCTAACTTCTAACTAACTCCTTGGTAGCAGAACGCGCAGGTCCAACACCAAAGCCCGCCACCGGCCACGATCCTGAACCAAATCCATCCATTTGCCATCATAGCCCACCTCCCTAAGATCCATCTTGTTATTATCCTCCCATCTCCTTCCTGGTCTGCCCAGTGGTCGTTTTCCAGAAGGATTTCCCACCGAAATTCTATATGCACTCGTTTCCTCATCCATGCGTGCCACATGTCCAACCCATCGTATCAACCTACGTTTCGCTAACCTCACTCTGCTAGGTGACCAGTAAAATTCACGCAGCTCCTCGTTATGCAATATTCTAAATTCCCCAGCTAACGTAGATTATTATTTATTTTATTTAGTGTTCTGTCTGACGACAGGTCCATATGAACAGGATCCTTCCATCCTTTTCTCGGACTGGGACCTGTTCATATACGTTCTTGGCAGATGATCCAGAAGTGGTTTGCCATTGCCTTCTTCTGTGTGTGAATGGAGTAATTGGGATGCCACGGAGGAAAACTCTGTGTTGCCTAGACCACGGCCTTGCCCAACACAAGTTATAAATTCGGGCACCGCCGGGAATCGAACCCGAGACCCCAGGATTACAAGGCCAGCGTTCTATCCACTAGACCACCGTGGCTATTAACGTAGATTACAGGAATATAATATTTAGAACTTATATATTTCTCCTCACTCCCGTTCTAGTAAGTTAATTGTACCAAACTGACTGCCTTCAGTTCGAATGATTTCTCTCGATATATCAGTCCATACTTTTTAAGGTCTCTTCCACTGTTCGATATTCCGTCTTCAGCACTCCTCCTCCTAGGGACTTCAACGTCCTGACGTGTGATGTAATACCTCTTGGTATGTTTCAGATGCAGTACACAACCTTACTCATAGTGACCTTGACGTCCTCGTGCCTGTCCATAGTCTCAGGTGCCAGGATTATCGCCATGTTTCCGTACATTGGGAAGAGCCACTTTGACGTTTTCGAACCATTTGTTAAGGAACTCGCTGCCAGGGGTCACCAAGTTGTGGTACTCAGTCACTTCCCACAGAAGCAGCCCATAACTAATTACACCGACATAAGTCTTGTGGGCTCCATTACCACCGAAGCAAGAGACAGGATTGACCTAGGTAGAATATCAGGCACAGAGATTTTGAAGACCGCAGTGAAAGAAATTAGAGGAATTTTTGAATCTTGTGACCGAATGTTATCCTTTCAAAAGGTTCAGGATTTGTTTCAGTCTCAAGAAACATTTGATCTCATAATAACTGAAACGTTTCTTGCGGATTGCTTCCTGCCTTTGGTACACAAATTCAAGGCGCCTCATGTAGCAATAAGTTCAAGTATAATGTTCCCATGGTCAAATGACCGTATGGGGAACCCCGACAACCCGTCATATATCCCCACTCAAGGAACATATTTTTCTGACAAAATGAGTTTTATTCAAAGGCTCATAAATGTGATTGCGAATACCGCACTCAAATTTATATTCAGTGCTACTGAAAGCACAGTGATCGCAGGCTACGTTCGGAAACACTTTGGCGACGACGTGCCGTCACCGTCAGATATCGCAAGGAACACGAGTCTGCTTCTCGTCAACACGCACTTCAGCCTCAACGGACCGCGGCCACTTGTTCCCGGGATCGTAGAAGTCGGTGGACTTCACATCAGGCCTCCCAAGAAGCTTCCGAAGGTAAAATCAGTGTGGAATCTTGCAGGGGGGAAATTTTGGTAGACTTTTTCCGAGTTCTGAAATAATACAGAATGTTTGTAATGGTGAAATGTTGTAGGCCGAGGTTGTGGTCTGTTTTAAGTTATCATATTTGCTTTTTCAACTGGGTACCTCAAAATTCAGCTTGGGGGGTCTAGCCCTCAGACAGTGAACTTGGACCTATTTCTGATTCTTATATTTTTTTTGAATATTTTTGTCCAAATAAGGAGTAGGCTAAGCGCCTATATAGACCTAATGCAACAGACTCTTAAAATAAGAGAATGTATATGGGCGTGACATGTAGCACGCACAGAAGAGATGTGAAATGGAAGTTATGCGTATCATACATTACTTCAAAGTAATGTATGATACTTAAATTCAAAATTATGTTTGCCTTGAAATACATAAACACGCCCTACAACCTCCCAAAGCTGATATGTTAAAGCAGTATTTTATGACTTCGTCAGATCAATCAGATTACTCAGTAACTTCAAGTATACAGATTCTTTACTCTTATTTTTACTGAAATGAAATTAGTAAAAGTTGGATGCTGTAAAGTTGAGACACAGAATCTTCAATTTCAGTACAGTTTTGTAAGTTTCAATCCAGATTCTAATTCTATCTTAGGACTTGGAAGACTACCTTAATGGAGCTGAACATGGGGTTATCTACTTCAGCATGGGTTCCATGATCCGAGCAGAGACCCTTCCTGAGGATAAGAGGGACGCATTTCTGCAGGCGTTTTCAGAGCTACCACAGCGAGTCCTCTGGAAGTGGGAGGGAGACACGCTTCCAGGACAACCCAAGAACGTCAAGATCGCAAAATGGCTGCCACAGTTTGACATTCTGAGTAAGCTACTTCTTTATAGTACTCCATAAGTCATTACATTTTCTGTAAAAAAAATCTGTCCCACTATACGCCATGTAGGCGCTTGAGGGAGAGAAAATACAGCTCCTACTCACTCTTGGCCTCGGCACTAGATGGGGTGAGTGGTCAGCGTCACGACCTGGACGCGCGTTACCCCCGGGAAAGGACCCCGGTACCCGCTGGATAGGTAACTGGGTGGGCCCCAGAGCCGATTTGGAAGTAAAGGCTAGAGGAAATAATCTGCAGTAGAGTATTTAAATGGTGGCCGACAGGTAACCTGCTCCTGAAGAGAAACGTCTGTCGTACCAAAGTACGATATTGAACACTCTCCTCCTCAGCTTGTGAATCCCACGTCCCATCCTCGAAACTCTTTGGCTGTACCGACAAGTCACCTTAACATTAAGAACTAGTCTCCTTTCTTGGTCTTCTAAATCGTTACATTTCTAGAGATTTCCTCCCAACATTCCGTTCGCAATTTTCTCTTTCTCATCCAATCTATGTGCCCAGCCAATCATACTACCTTCTGATAATTCAATGGCTAACAACGAATAAGACAATAATACACCGACTGGCAACATCATTTTGGGACACGCGAATTGTTTGTCTATGACAAGTGTTCACCGAGAGACAAAACAGCTGAAATTATCGACCGTACCTATTTAAAACAGTGCAAGAATTCAATACTGCCACTGGCTTCATCGGTTTGTGAGTTGCATTTCAAATGTAACACGCTGTACATACAAGCCAATATTACTAAAGATCCAACCTGGCACGTTTTCACTAAACAGTAGCCATGTTACGAAGTGTCCGCTCTGTGTCCGACAGACCATCCCAACGTGCGAGTGTTCGTGGGTCATGGCGGTCTGCTGGGGTCGATTGAAGCTGTGTACGCAGGTGTACCCATGGTCGGTATCCCCATGTTTGGAGATCAGCCCACGAACATAAGAGCTATCGTAAACTGCAAGATGGGGGTGAAAATAGATTACAATGAAATCAGCAAAGAGAGTGTCCTAAAGGCTCTCCGAACTTTGTTGGATCAACCCAGGTAAGTAATTGCAGTGGAATGACTCACCAGTTCAGTGCAGATTTTTCTATTTTATATTCTTCAGTGTCCTTGTTTATTTACTTTAGTTACGAATCAAATTCTTCATATTTTATATACAAATCTAGTTGTTAATTTCACTCGTCTGTTATCCAACTTTCGGTAATATCTTTTGCAAGAATGCATAAATATTAAAATTTGTAACTTGGAGCAGCGAAAAACACGATTATTGAAGATCCCTGTCTTCTGGGTTGTTGCGCTGTATAGTCTGGTCGATGTTGACCAACGTTTCAGAGGTCATACTGCCTCCGAGGGCAGTATGACCTCTGATACGTTGGTTAACATCGACCAGACTACACAGCGCAACAACCCAGAAGACAGAAATCTTCATACTCATCGCCCTGATGATGGAGGCAGAATGACCTCTAAAACGTTGGTAAACACCGACCAGACTACACAGCCCAACAACCCAGAAGACAGAAATCTTCATACTCTGATGACGGAGGCAGTATGATCTCTGAAACGTTGGTAAACATAGACCAGACTACACAGCGCAACAACCCAGAAGATAGAAATATTCATACTCATCGTCCTGATGATGGAGGCAGTATGACCTCTGAAACGTTGGTAAACATCGACCAGACTACACAGCGCAACAACCCAGAAGACAGAATTCTTCATACTCACCGCTGGGAAACCTCAAATCTAACACGACAAAACCAACTACATTAATTTATGGTCTTCAGGTTGTTATTTCCTAATGTCTTATCAACCCTCTGATAAATTATAACAACAAATCACGAACACAAGGAAGTCTTACTTGCTTGTCTTTTGTTAAATATACACACGATCATAAATGTTTCAAATAAAAGCTGTTTATCTAAATGAGAACCGGGTGAGATTTAGAGTTCTCACGGTGACTAGTATAACGATGTTTTCTGAGATGCTGAGTCATGTATTCTGGTAGATATTTCCCGACGTTTCAGAGGATCATGCTGCTCCGGTTTTAAGAGTTCTGTGTCAGCTTATGTAAAGTAGTCGTTACATTAGACCCATACGTAAAAAAATTCGTTGTACAGCTTTTGAAGTACGCCCGATTATGCAAAGTTCAATCGAAAACTTTTCAGTACTTTTAAAGATGAATGATTCGGCGGACCACCACAACCTCCCCCCCCTGCTTATTGTGTTTAATTTATATACTTCGTGGGGAAAACGCTGCCCGTCATGATCATTATGAACAGGTTATATTAATTCGTAAAAATTTAAATCGTGAGAAACAGCATGTTCCTAGTCGTTGTCTTTACCTGCGAAATCAAAAACTGTCTTTTGCGTCTTACTATTTAACAAAAAAAAATACTGAAACACTGAAAACAGCTCTCTGATTTAGGCGTTTCTCAAAGAAGAAAGAAAACACCTATTAGATTTTACGTGCATGTCAATTGTTTTGAAGTTTAATATCTCTGAAACAGTTTTAATCACGTTCAAATTCCCCAGCCCGAAACACATTCCCTGGCCACGTTTACAAATGTATAAAATACAGAATAATTTTAAATTGAATCTTATTAAATCCACAACGTTAAGTTTACTAAGCTCGCATGTTACTTACAACCAAACAGCACCATATCCATACCTGTGTGTAGTCTTAGTAGATGCGTACGTATGTGTGTTTAACCTCATATAACACATCGCGCCTAGTACTATGGTTACACGCAACTCTCATACCCCGGTTCCAGGCAGGAAGTGCATGACCCACCGCCAAGAGCTTCGAGATTTTTTCCGGTACGAGTCAAGTATCGCTCCATAATAACAACAAAATCAACTGGCCGCCATTTTAGGCACGTTCAATACGTCAATGTCTACGCACACAGCCTCTGTACCATTTAAATTAGGTTAAATTCACAGCATCCTCGCTTTGCCTGTTGACGATTTAGAGATTTAGGTCCATTGTTCGAGGCATTTTAATGATTAACACCACTGTGGCGTGTGTTCTAAGCCCTTACTTCGTATACTTTTTCTTCGGTAAACACACGGCGTTTTTAGCAGGATTCTTGTCCCTGAATGACTCCCGTAGACCTGACTTTATAATTCAGGGACGTCTGTTGTGTTTCGGAATGTAATCCCGGAAAATTTACGACGAAATTTTCTCCGGCACTTACGACCGAAACCACATTTCGCATACGCCACACACAACAATAGCTAGTGCTTGACACAGGTGGACCGTTGTTTGGACAATTTAGCGGCAACTGCTGTTGGCGCTTGGCGATGAATAATGCAGTTCCTGACGGGAGCCAAGGTATGAATGTCACGTGTAACTACGCCAGAAAACGCACTGTAGAATCTATTGAAGCAGATTCAATTTATCACGCTAAGGCAAGCATTTAAAATAATAATATCTTACTCGTCGCATCCTTAAAAATTTAATTTTTTAAAATAATGTCATCTGCAGTTACAGGGAGAACGCAAAGCGGATGTCTAAAATCTACCTAGACAGACCGATGTCCGCGATGAATACTGCCATCTTCTGGACAGAGTACATAATCAGGCACAGAGGAGCACCACATTTACGACCAGCAATATTAGACCTTGCCTGGTACCAGTATCTGCTGCTTGATATTCTGGCAGCATTCTTAGTTTCCATTATCACAATCGTCTTCCTCATTTACGTCATAACAAAAAAACTCGCTAAAATGTTCACGCTACATCACAGAAAGAAGTCAAAACAGAGCTGAAAAATGTACGTACCCCTGTGTAGATAATATTACGTACAAATTCCATGGCTAGATAATATTCACCAGACTCGAGGCGAGGCGTCCAAAACTATAAAATTGTGGGCTTTAATTTTTACTCAGAGACCAAATGGAACTTTTTAAAAGCGATAGTAGGCCGAAGAACGTAGCTCAAAACTAGTTCATGTTTTGTGGACCGTATTTTTACATCCTTACCTCAGAGACTTGTATACATACCGTTCACGCAAATAAACACTGAATTATGAATTTTGTAAACTTGTATGTAGCAGGCACAAACAGAATTCAATTAAATTTATATCAAGTTGTATTCATAGATTCAAAATATGTTTGAATATATATTATTTTCAACTTGTTTTTATGAACATTCCTCTTCAATTAAATCTTCATACACCAAATCCTTCAGTTCTTATCGACTAATTTCATGAGATGCCTGTCGAATTACGTACAGCATGTCACAACGCCTGTGCTATCAAAAGACAATATAAAGAGAGGAAATATTTCCACATTTCAAGAACAATAGGAATTTTAGATTACTCGTCATCTTAATTTCGCGGTCGGTTTCAGTTCAGTTTATTAAATAACAGGTCATTTTCATTTATAAAATACTAACAACTAAAATACGATTGGAGTAGGCATTTCATTTGTTGATATCGATCAAATTTGATGCGGTCAATCTTTGGTACATGTCTTGTATGAAAATTATAAAAGAACGTAAATATGAATAAATGCGGACTTTCTGAACCATGGATACATGTACCATAAAACGTCATAAGGTATTATGCGACACTGTCAGATTTTTAATGGTTTGATTGAAATAAACTAATCTCTATCTGAATGTCCTGTCGTTTTATAACACACGATTACATGTAGTTTGAGATCAAAAATTACGTCGCCTGTAAAATGTTCTGGAATAATAAATATTATTATTGTTGTTATGGATATAATAATATTCTCGATACATTCGTTACAGTAAGAATCGCTGAAAACTCAGTTGCAATTACAGTTCTAAAGTTTTACTACCGAAAACCTACCTCGAGCAATGATCGTGAGATTAAGTTCAATAACTTACGTGTTGTTCTAATACCCTGCAACCTACTGAACAAAGTATTCATTCACTTCTTCAGCAGACTTACTACAAATTTTATATTCACGATCTAACCCATGAACCCACTCTGTGTGTAATATGAACTAATTTCAAGTAAATTAACGACGTGTGATTAAATTTTAACTTGCACAAGCGAAATGTCGCAATATGGCTGTGATCATATTACGCGTTCTGCAAACAAAATCCTGAGAAATATTCAAAATCTGTTACCGTAATGTTCGCTGCTGGCCTTTGATGTTCGTTACTCATGTTTAAAGCTACAAAATGAAGAATCGATGCATAATGCACCATTCTCCTCTGTACGTCACGTGTGTAATCGGTAGTAATGATCATGACGATTCTGGATAAACGGGGAGGGAGTTATACAGTAACAGGCACCAAACTGTACGTTTCGCTTACGTCACAGCTTCGTGTAAAAGGAAAACAAAACATATATAACATATATTACGTAAACCCAGACATTACCAACATAGGAATTGACTTGAGACAGAGCTACAAAGTACTGCAGATGAAAAATAAAGTTTACAGTATGCACAAAATATGGATTCCTTGTCTGCTATATTTTCCATCTCCTCTGATTTTCTTTTGTCTTTCTCGTAACGGGCTTGGAACGCACAGATTCGTGCCTATTACTGTACCTGTCTCGTCGACTACGGGAGTGTTACGATATTGCCACTGGATTCTAGAAAACCATTGCGTCATTTGTCAATTTAACAGATGAAGTCATGTATACTGCACATTGACCGTAAAATGTTACCTAAGTAATCCACGCCCTCCTTATAATTTATACTTCTAAGGGAAGATACTTTTTCACATCTATACTGCAGTAAATAAGCAAGCTTATCCGTTTGGAACATTCTACGCTATCCGGTTGGTCTCCCTGCCACCTGCTGTTAAAGTACGATATCTCTTCTCCACATATTTTCCCCGTCGTTTCGTCCTCAATGATGTTTTACTTCACAACCTCACCTTATACTTGGGTCATCCAACATTTCAAATATGTCCCATCACTTGACGTTCAGCGATTATCTTTTCCTTGCGAACAGCAAACTTTAGTGTTTCACACGAATACCGAATTCGTTTCAAAGAACAATTATCTTATTTCGAACACACTCACTACAAGCACGAAGAAATCACGTTTCATATACACAGATTTTTTTGCTATAAACCACAACGCACGCCTTGAACTTGGTATCACTTGGTAAATGGTACTTGACATCAACTACATGCGTGTACGTTCTATCTTTCGCTGCACATGTATATAATTAAGCAGTGGCCAGTTTGACCTTCAACCACATTGAAGGTCACGACTCGGTTTAAGTTCCGAACAGAAAGGCAGATCCTCATCCGCCCACTCAACCTCAATCTTTACTAGAGGTCGCGCGAGTAGTCGTGTCCACCTAAATGCGCGATGTGTAAGCCGAGAGAGGGGAGTTCTATAGTAGTGGGGGTCACACAGCCTCAGCTTTGGTCCCCAGAGTGGAGGGGAACCAATATGGCCACTACGTGACTACGTAGTGTACTAGTGTGCCGACGAAAAACCAAGCAGCGCTAGACATAGAGTGTGTTTACGAATGTACTGAGCAATGGTATCTACACTAGTCACTGAGATTATGAAGTTATACAACACTGCTTCATAATCCTCAGAATAAATGTAAGCAAAGATGCGTAATCAACGAACCACACAACAATTACGGCCTTAAATATTGAATTCGTCAATAACAGATTGGGTTAAGAAACAATGAGTGATATATATTAGACAACTCCACAAACAAACATCAGTGTCAAATGGGCTTCTCTCTTTTTCGTATTGTGTAAACTTCGTTCCCGAGAGCAGTCCCTGTATTGACTAACTTGTTTCACATCGAAGACCATTCTTTACCATTCACTCTGGTGCCAGAGACTCTAGGCTGGTATTCCCTGGATGGAGTCACCTAAAAACTAGCTAGCAGCACCCGAACTACATGATGTGAATTTGAAAATGTTACATAACTATGGATACAAGATCAGAATACTAGGCACCATCATAACAATTTCAAGTTCCACGGCAGCCTCGCTTACATATTGTTTCCAACACTCTTATTTTTTGGTTTCCTGAAGGAAGCATAATTTATTATCAAATTACACAGGTGAATTATTTTCAAATATCCATGAATCCCATTAAATAAACCATGAAAAGTACTAAGTGCGGCTGCTACATACTTTCCCAATAAACAATAAAATGAAGAAATGTGATAGATAAAAAACTGGTAATATATAAACATAATTACAAAAACATTTCAAATGGGACGGGTATGTAACAAAGGAATCAGGAGCAAAGAACTGCTGGAGATTATGGAAAATTATTTT